GCACACTCAAAATCGAGTCCAATTGTTCACAAGCGGAAAATGGGCTCAACTCGAAGGCCTCTCAAAGGGAATAAAGGACAAAGAAAAAGAAGAGAATATCACAATGAAAATGAGACACTTGACAGTGAAGCTACGATGAATGTATTGAAAGAAACATTCAGTTTGGAGAATGAACCCAGTCCAGATAAATCTACATCACAAAGCTCAAAAGATGGAGCTAAAGAACAGGAGATGGAAATATGTGAGAAGAATGATGTTAGTCCTGTTGAAGGGTCTGAATCTGCTTTCATACAGTCATCATTTAGTTTAGATTCAGTGTCTGAGGAATCCACTGCAGTAACTATCTCTCACATCACAGAATCACAAACCCTCACAAAAATGAATGAAGAGTCCCAGGAAAATACTGGAGATGCTGAAAGAGGGACAGCAGAGGGAGACGCAGAATCACACTCAGAAATTCAAACAGAAAACAAACCGACAGACTTAACGACATCGGAAGCAGAAAGAACAGAAGAAAACATCTGTGAAGCTACCGTTTTAGTTGAAGAAGTTGAGTTTATTGTAGATTCAGTTACAGTGGAGAGTAATAAGTCTGATCTGCTTCAAAATGACACTGTCACTGTTGTAAATCTGGAAACACTTAAAGTGTCTGAAAATATTGAGAATGTTTCTTCTGTGACTGATACTGGTCTTCTTGTGCAAGATGATGCCACTGAAGGATCAGGAGAGACAAACACAATTCCTGATCAAAGTGACACCAACACCATTCCTGAAGATACTCACAGAGAGGAGGCACACTCAAAATCGAGTCCAATTGTTCACAAGCGAAAAATGGGCTCAACTCGAAGACCTCTCAAAGGGAATAAAGGACAAAGAAAGGGAATGAAATATCATGATGAAAATGAGACACTTGACAGTGAAGCTACGATGAATGTAGAGAAAGAAACATTCGGTTTGGAGGATGAACCCAGTCCAGATAAATCTACATCACAAAGCTCAAAAGATGGAGCTAAAGAACAGGAGATGGAAATATGTGAGAAGAATGATGTTGGTCCTTTTGAAGGATCTGAATCTGCTTTCATACAGTCATCATTTAGTTTAGATTCAGTGTCTGAGGAATCCACTGCAGTAACTATCTCTCACATTACAGAATCACAAACCCTCACAAAAATGAATGTAGATTCCCAGGAAAATACTGGAGATGCTGAAAGAGGGACAGCAGAGGGAGATACAGAATCACACTCAGAAATTCAAACAGAAAACAAACCAACAGACTTAACGACATCTGAAGCAGAAAGAACAGAAGAAAGCATCCGTCATGCTACTGTTTTAGTTGAAGAAGTTGAGTTTATTGTAGATTCAGTTACAGTAGAGGGTAACATGACTGAGTCTGATCTCCTTCAAAATGATACTGTCACTGTTGCAAATCTGGAAACATTGAAAGTATCTGAAAATGTTGAGAATGTTTCTTCTGTGACTGATACTGGTCTTCTTGTGCAAGATGATGCCACTGAAGGATCAGGAGAGACAAACACAATTCCTGATAAAAGTGACACCAACTCCATTCCTGAAGATACTCACAGAGAGGAGGCACACTCAAAATCGAGTCCAATTGTTCACAAGCGGAAAATGGGCTCAACTCGAAGACCTCTCAGAGGAGATACAGGGCAAAGAAAAAGAAGAGAATATCACGATGAAAATGAGACACTTGACAGTGAAGATACGGTGAATTTATTGAAAGAAACATTCAGTTCGGAGGATGAACCCAGTCCAGATAAATCTACATCACAAAGCTCAAAAGATGGAGCTAAAGAACAGGAGATGGAAATATGTGAGAAGAATGATGTTGGTCCTGTTGAAGGGTCTGAATCTGCTTTCATACAGTCATCATTTAGTTTAGATTCAGTGTCTGAGGAATCCACTGCAGTAACTATCTCTCACATCACAGAATCACAAACCCTCACAAAAACTAATGAAGAGTCCCAGGAAAATACTGGAGATGCTGAAAGAGGGACAGCAGAGGGAGATGCAGAATCACACTCAGAAATTCAAACAGAAAACAAACCGACAGACTTAACAACATCGGAAGCAGAAAGAACAGAAGAAAACATCTGTGGAGCTACCGTTTTAGTTGAAGAAGTTGAGTTTATTGTAGATACAGTTACAGTGGAGAGTAATAAGTCTGATCTGCTTAAAAATAACACTGTCACTGTTGTAAATCTGGAAACATTTAAAGTGTCTGGAAATATTGAGAATGTTTCTTCTGTGACTGATACTGGTCTTCTTGTGCAAGATGATGCCACTGAAGGATCAGGAGAGACAAACACAATTCCTGATCAAAGTGACACCAACACCATTCCTGAAGATACTCACAGAGAGGAGGCACACTCAAAATCGAGTCCAATTGTTCACAAGCGAAAAATGGGCTCAACTCGAAGACCTCTCAAAGGGAATAAAGGACAAAGAAAGGGAATGAAATATCATGATGAAAATGAGACACTTGACAGTGAAGCTACGATGAATGTAGAGAAAGAAACATTCGGTTTGGAGGATGAACCCAGTCCAGATAAATCTACATCACAAAGCTCAAAAGATGGAGCTAAAGAACAGGAGATGGAAATATGTGAGAAGAATGATGTTGGTCCTTTTGAAGGATCTGAATCTGCTTTCATACAGTCATCATTTAGTTTAGATTCAGTGTCTGAGGAATCCACTGCAGTAACTATCTCTCACATTACAGAATCACAAACCCTCACAAAAATGAATGTAGATTCCCAGGAAAATACTGGAGATGCTGAAAGAGGGACAGCAGAGGGAGATACAGAATCACACTCAGAAATTCAAACAGAAAACAAACCAACAGACTTAACGACATCTGAAGCAGAAAGAACAGAAGAAAGCATCCGTCATGCTACTGTTTTAGTTGAAGAAGTTGAGTTTATTGTAGATTCAGTTACAGTAGAGGGTAACATGACTGTGTCTGATCTGCTTCAAAATGATACAGTCACTGTTGCAAATCTGGAAACATTGAAAGTATCTGAAAATATTGAGAATGTTTCTTCTGTGACTGATACTGGTCTTCTTGTGCAAGATGATGCCACTGAAGGATCAGGAGAGACAAACACAATTCCTGATAAAAGTGACACCAACTCCATTCCTGAAGATACTCACAGAGAGGAGGCACACTCAAAATCGAGTCCAATTGTTCACAAGCGGAAAATGGGCTCAACTCGAAGACCTCTCAAAGGGAATAAAGGACAAAGAAAGGGAATGAAATATCATGATGAAAATGAGACACTTGACAGTGAAGCTACGGTGAATGTAGAGAAAGAAACATTCAGTTTGGAGGATGAACCCAGTCCAGATAAATCTACATCACAAAGCTCAAAAGATGGAGCTAAAGAGCAGGAGATGGAAATATGTGAGAAGAATGATGTTGGTCCTGTTGAAGGGTCTGAATCTGCTTTCATACAGTCATCATTTAGTTTAGATTCAGTGTCTGAGGAATCCACTGCAGTAACTATCTCTCACATCACAGAATCACAAACCCTCACAAAAATGAATGAAGAGTCCCAGGAAAAAACTGGAGATGCTGAAAGAGTGAAATATGAAAATGTTGAGATTAAAGTTTCAGGAGAAACAAAAACAATTACTGAGCCAAGGGACATCAACCTCATTCCTGAAGATACTCACAGAGAGGAGGTACACGCAAAATTTAGTCCAGTTGTTCACAAGCGAAAAATGGGCTCAACTCGAAGACCTCTCCGAGGGAACAAAGGACAAATGAAAGTGAGAGTAGAAGTGTCAGGAGAAGAAGACACAGAAACACTCTCAGATGATTTAAAGCAAGAGGAAAGATCAGTTGTATCTCAAACACAAACTGGTCCAGCACAGGATGATACTGGCTCACATTTATTAGATGTCCCAGAGAGAACTGCAGATTTGGTTAGAGACAGCCTTACAAGTCATTCTGATCTTGTCTTGTCTGATGCCCTGCTTATGGAGGAGACTCAAATTCATGTGTCATCTGAGGATGTTGTCAAGGGTAACACTTGTGTACCTCCAACAGAGATAGTTGAAATGCATTCAGTCTCCAACAGATCTTTGCAGAAGAGAAAAATGGGATCAACTCGGAAGAGAGGGAAGGGGATGGTAAATGAAGAGGTTGAAGAAGAGAAAGAGGGAGAAGCTGAAAATACAACAACTGATGATGGTACCACAAAGTCTGAGGAGAAATTAACTCTTGAAGAATCCATAACAGGATCTCTTGTACATCAGCAAGCATTCGGTTCATCTGCTGGTAAAAAAACCCATGACATTCAGGATGTTGCTAGAAAATCGGACGTGCAGACAAAAAACTCAGAACAAAATGATCAAAATCGAGCTGCTGAGATTGTTTTAGACCTTCCTTTGGGAGATGTTGAGACATACTCAGTACCTGAACAAAGTGAAATCACAAGCATCATTCCTGAAGAGTCTCACAGAAAAGATATACAATCAAACTCGATTCCAGCTGTTCAAAAACGAAAAATGGGGTCAACACGCAAAACACTCCGAGGGAACAAAGGGCAAAGAAGAGAAGTAGAATCCAAAAACATGGATGCAGAAAGTAAAGGAATGGCAAAGGAGCAGGATACAGACCCACATTTAGCAATCAGTGAAGGAGAAGATAAATGTAAACTGGATGAACAATACTTCCCTGTTGAATTTTCTCATCAAGCAGCTATTTCAAACATGTTTTCTGAATCAGAAGATGGAGTGAAGGAAGTTTCTCTCAATATCCATGACTCATCTGAGGTGAGTGAGGAAAAGGGAATGGAGAATACTGTAAATGACAGTAATAGTCTGACTGAGGCAATCAATCTGTATGGGGGGACAACGGACAAATTTGTCTTGACAGTCAGTTGCAAAGATATTCCTCAGACCATGTCTGCAGATTACCTTGATCAGCATGTTCATGGAGGATCAGAGCCTGAACAAACTGAAACCACATGCCAAGAAAAGAGACGAAAGATCGGCTCCACTCGGAAAAATCCTCGAGGAATGCATGGGAAAAACATGGGTGACCAGGATGATATACTTGGTATGGCAATGGATAGAGGAACTAAAAAAGCAGAGGATGATTTGGATGATATGCCTTTAGCATCAAACATGAGTCAGCCCAAGGAAATGTCCCCAGAAGCTATCAGTACCATAGATATTGAATCAGAAATGCTAGTTAGTGCAACTGATTTAAAAGGAGGTGAAAATGATTATCAGAACAATTCTGACCCAACTAGAACAACTGGACATGAAACACCTGAAAATACTGAAGATCAGTTAGTAAGTGTTGATGTTACCAAACATCTACAGCCAAAGACTGTTCCAGTTGAGAAAAGAAGGAAGATGGGCTCGACTCGGAAAAATGTCAGAGAAGGAAGAATACGGGGGAAGAGAGATGTATATGAGGACACGGAGACTGCAGAAACACATCTGCAGATGTCTCAGGACTCTGAAATGAGCCTAGTTGGAAAATCTGTAGAAGAACAAACAATTCACAATTACTCTAATCAGTCAGAGGATTCACTTCTTAGTGAGATAGAGAGAGCTTTAAATAAGACTTCTCAAAGTTCATCGAATTATGAATTGATCGTCAAAGAGCCAAACTCAGATGACTTAGTGAATACTTCTCATCTCAATAAGCCAGAAAACTCAGAAATCAAATCACTTCAGCCGAAACCATCACAGAGCTCCAAAACTCACAGTGAACCCAACTCACCAGAAAGACGAAGAAGAAAAATGGGTTCAACTCGCAAGAATCCCAGACAGCAGATCAAAGCAGAAAGGAAGGAAGAAGACAAAGAGGATGGGGAGATAGAAGAGAACTTAGAGGCAAATAAGCAAGAAATGAAGAACCTTGAAATCGTTGAGACGTCTGTAGTGCATAATATCCCTGAAAATAAACTGAATAAAGGGTATCTTGATGTCCCCAGTGCACACACAAGTAGCAGTCAGCTAGAAGAAAGCAGTAACCCTATTGTCCAAGAAAGGACGTCGCCTTCAACTAAAAGGAAGTTTGGGTCCAGACGCACTAATAAGGGCAAACAAGGCCTTGGTAGGCTGGACGCTTCTGATAGTAAGAGCGAATTAGGAGATGAGGTCGAGGACAATCTGCGCAATGATGACTTAACGGTATGTTAAACTTCGTTTAAGGTCCGTAGATTTTGTACTTCAATCTTTTATGGAAATTGTATTTGTTTTAAAACACTAATCAATGTCTGTTTTGTTTAGGTATGTGATCCGCATCTCAGCTTACAACCAGAGAATCAGCCAATTTTCCAACCGATCTCTGAGCAGAGCAAAATGGAAGCCAGGTATGACAGAGAGCTGTATAAGAGTTCATCCCAAATCTCTTTTATATATAAAAAAATTAAATAATACTTCTTCTTTTGTTCTAGAAATGAAGAAGCTGCTCCAAAAGGCACTGGTGCTGGTCTTGTTTCTTTGGACCAAATCATAAAACATGATAGAAGCACTGGAACTAGGCAGACAATAAATTTAAAGAACAGGAGTGAGCAAAGTCATAAAACATTGTATATTGTATGTATATTAATCCTTATAGTTTAATACCTAATACTCATGTCAACAAACTCTGTCATATAATTTCAGATAGTGAATTACAGTTTAACGTGGTCATGGTGGGAAACAGCTGTGTGGGAAAGACTTCCTTCATAAGACGCTTCCATGAAGGGCAGTTCACTGAGGATTACCGTTCCACTATTGGTGAGTGTTGTGATAGAGAGGAGGGATTATTGATTACTGAAGTAAAAAAGTTGCTGCCTTAAATTAAGTACAATCAACTTACAATGAACTTAAATTATAATAAACTGACTTAAAAATGAGTTGAAAATTGCTTAACTTATTTTGATGAGTTAAAACAATGTAAAAACATTTGTTCTTATAACTTGTTGATCATATAATTATTTTTACTAAATAAATTGTTATTATTAAATTAATATTATTTAGTTACTAATTAAAACATACTATTTCTAAAAGGAATCACATTAATAATGTTTTGCACCCAGGTGTTGATACCTGTATGCAAACTGTTGAGCTGGCTGACAGAACTGTTAAACTGCAGATATGGGACACAGCAGGTCAAGAGAGGTAAGACATCAGAACAAACAAAAGATGATGAAAAAAGAGGTTCGGTGGTGTGTGATTTAACCCCAAAAAATCTTTGTAAGGTTTCACAGCATCACCACACAAGTGTTCCATAAGGCTGATGGGCTTCTGTTCATGTATGAAATCACATGTTCAAAGAGCTTTATTTCTGTACGAGATTGGATCTCTCAAGCTCGGGTAGACATTGTTTTCATTACTTAAATTTCCTTATATTTTAGTCAAAACATAAGACCTTATATTTTCTAGTAAATCTAAATTGTGATTTTGCTGAGAAACCAGGCTATATCTCTGTTTCCTTCCCTTAATTGTATTATGACAATGTCACACAGGAAAGGGCTCCTGATGATGCCATCATGATATTGCTCGGAAACAAGAACGATTCTGTTGAGCGTAAAGTCCAGATTCAGGAAGGGGCGGATCTGGCCAGAGTAAGAGTTCATTGGGACTTCAACAGTACTGTCTAGTTGTTTTGCATTAATCTATTTCTTCTACATCTATAAACCTTTATAAAAGGTTGGTTGTATTTTTCCCTTCATTAGGAGTATAATATACATTTCATGGAGTGCAGTGCTGCAACTGGGGCTAATGTATCAGAATCCATGAGGACTCTTGCAGAGTAAGACCCAAAACAAATCAAACCCACTACACTAATTATTACTCGTTTAATATGTGTGTGTTTTCTATCCATGCATAATGACTAATTTCTCATTGCTACTAGGTTGTTAGTGCAGCGCAAGAAACGAAAAGAGGAACACACAACATTAAGAAGAGAACCACCATCGAAGAAATCTGGTTGCTGTTAAAAACACTCTCCCACACACAGAGATGCACTATGATTCAAAAGTTTTAGTCAGTACATAAAAAAAAAAAAAAAAAAATTAATACTTTTATTCAACAAGGATCCTGAGAAAAAGTTTAAAAAAAAAAACATTTTCAAACTTGATGATTGAGAAATGTTTATTGAGCACCAAATCAGTATATTAGAATGATTTCTGAAGGATCCTGTGACACTGAAGACTAGAGTAATGATGTTGAAAATTCAGCTTTGCCATCACAGGAATTATTTACACTTTAAAAATATATATTAAATCTTATTGACTCTAAACTTTTGAAGGTAGTGTACAAACACTTCGCAAAAAGCAAAGCCAAAATATAAGCTGCTTTTATATCGATGTTTAAGGGAAATATAATTTCAGTGTTTTATAAATATGTACAAAGCACAATAATGGTTTCATTTTTATAATATCACATATAATAATGTAACTATAAATGTATTTGATGTATGTTAAATGCTTTAACTCCAACTGTAAGTGCTGAGTGGAGGTGAAAATTACAAACAAATAAAAAAAAACTATTACAATTCAGAGTTTATAAATTATGAAAAATCTCAATTTTTTTAATTATTATCTAGCACAGACTAAATCATTGAGGTGTAACTAGTCAGCCTTCAAAACAAGACACTACTTTAAATAACTTAAACTCACAAAAAGCAATATTTTTGTTATCATAATGTCAAAATGTATAGATTCTTTCTTTGTAAAGCAAACATCTCAAACAGTAGTCAGAAGAGTTGCTTGTCGATCTTCATATCTGAAATATAAGCGATAAATATTATTGTAAACATACACATTCACTCATGACACAAACAACTTAGTGCTTTGGATCAAGGACAAACAGGATGCCTATAATAAATAGACTGAGGAAGAGGGCAAAAACGATGAAGAAAATCTGAGCCGCCCATTGACTGTGCGGCACCCCTGTCACCGCTCTGGAACGTTCAGAGGGAATCATGTTGGTCAGGTTCAGCATGTAGCCCAAAGTCCAACCAACATCTGTGTCTGCTACCTGTAACCATCATAAGGTCACATGAGTACAAATCCCCATATCACACTGATAAGACAGGCTTTATGTCAGGAGTGCCATATAAAGGGCGATTCCTCGAAGAGCTTTTCTTATACTGCTGGAGCACAGGTCATCTGGCATATTGATTGAGACACATATGACATCAGTTTATGAGCTACTGCATTTAGCGATGCAGATTACATTACAGTCCCATATGACTTATGAATCACTGAACAGCTGCATTGCAATACAGGAAGACTAATAATTTACATTGATAAAACTGTATTCCTTACCTGTTTCTCAAAAGAGATTTGATCCCAGGTGTTATTGAACTTGTATCCTTTCAGTAGAATAGTCATAATATAATGAGCTGAAGCACAATAATCTCTCAGATATTTCGCCTTAATGGCTGGATTTTCAGCAGTAAGCTGCAGAAAGGAATAACGTTCCATTAATTTTAGGATCAGCATTATCAAATATACTAAACATTTAATCATATGTGATCACTACGCGTCTGACCAGGCTTTTTACTATAAAATGTAGGATTACAATGTATTGTGATAGTATCTGTGGACTCACAGTGGTCCAGTTTTTGTTGCAGTGAGTCTCAATAGTGGAAAGAACCCGTGTCAGTGGAGCTTTTGGGGCGAGACCAAGGAAGTCAAAGGTGTAGAAGTATGCTGAAAAAGCCTGCGATGGACATGAAACATAGTTATTTTAACACATGGAAAACACAAATTAAAGCAAAAAAAGAGGATAATTCGATTCACTAAAAAGAGTAACTTATATGCTACTTCTTTATTTGTTCATTAGTAACCGCTCTAATGGACTAAGTTCAGTGAAGGATTCATCAGAGTGAACAGTGTAATATAATTGGACTACTTTTGGATTACTTTTAGATTACTTTTGACCTAACTTACATTACAACTTACATTACGTTTGACCTAACATTACATCAGGGTTTCCCAGACTGGGGTTTATGATCGAACTGCAAGGGGTTTGTGAGTTTAATGAAAAGCTATTAATTATATCATAAAATTTAAATTAATAAAAAAATATATATATATAAATAAATAAATAAAACACTACTAAAAAAGATGAAATTTTGGTTACACTTTATTTTAAGGTGTTCATGTTACAGTGTAATTATATATTTAAGTACTGACTCTGAGCAATATTAATTAACTACATGTACTTACTATAGGGTTAGGATTAGGGTTAGGGTGTCGTTTGGGGTTTGTTGCATGTAATTATGCACAATTTATAGCAATTCCTCTAGTAACATGTGACGTGTAACAAGGACACTGTAAAATAAAGTGTTACCGAAATATTTTATTCGTTTACCTGCATGTCATGTAACCAACATCAGAGAACCGTGAGCTTAATTGTATTATTGTCGTTATTAATATTTTTATTTTATTATTGACCTTACTTATTAACTTACTTCAAGTAAATATAGGTAAAAAAGGTTTAACTGACAAAAAAGTTGGGGGATCCCTGGCTTGCATTTAATTATGTAATGACGATTATTTGTACATTTGAATGTGTTTGACTGTGGTTTGCCTTCCAAAGACAGGTATACGTAGTTAAATGACTCACTGAGGGATAATTCAAATAATAATTAATGTGTTCGCAAGGAGCTGATTAGATATGCAATGATTCAACGTTCTGCATTTAGCAGAAAACACTTCTTATGAGTAGGTTATATTTTAAACCGTAATATCACAAGTACTTAATTTTTGGAATCTGATTACGTAATCCAGATTACATGTAATAAATTACTAGCGACTGTTCATTAAAAGAACCGGCTCAATCGTTCAGGATTTAGACTGCATTCATCACCCTGAATGTTTTTGATTAACCAAAAAGTAATTTGTAATTTAATCTGATAAACTGGTTGCATTGAAGCCAATGTTGTTTTCGTGTGCAGTCCGCTAGGGCAACTCGTTTCTTGACATTATTTAGAGATACACATCATATTTAAGACGGCAGATTTATAACTCAGGTCAAATATTATTTCCTTTGCTGTGGCAAGAAACACTGCAAAATAGACTCAATCAAATATTGTATAACTTTTTGTGTTTTTGCATGTCCATGTAAGGTAATGTAAAATACATTCAATATAAAATAAGTTGTGTTTGTATCTTCCCACTGTAATTGTGCTTTCATTTCCTTCCTTACATTAAAACTCCTAACTTTACTATAATGCTATATTAAAGAAGTTGATTTGATAAGGAACGCAACACTCACAAAGAATTCGCCATTGACAGGAGGTTGATAGGCACCATCGAAACCACAGTCTGGTGATAAGGCACAGTCGGTGAGGTTAACAATATTCTCCGTTAGAGAAAGACAGAGGGATGAATTTCCCGTTCCTGAGAAAGTGACTGTAGCCGTGGGGTTAAAATTGTTTGGTTTGACCACACAAGGGGAGTTGTAAAGTTCAGCCAAAGTAACATTGACTTTATATCCTTTGTGGTAGCATGGGTGACTGATAACAGATGTTGGTCCAGCAGTCTGGATGAAGCAAAAACACCATATCAGACATTTAATGTATCCATAATTGAAGACACTTTCTTTCTAAACCTACATAACAGCGCTAAAACTTGTATGGTACTGATACGTGAAGCCTTTAAAAACCAACCTTGTGAAGGTATGCCTGAAGTTTCTTCAAAGCCTGGTCCTTGCCGTAGCACAAGTAGCTGTATGTGTACAACTCATACTTGTACCCATAGAGCTGGAGATTAAAAGCTGAATCTGGGAATCTCACGGGGTCTTTTGGGGTGAATGAGATCTGTGTTGATGCACCACCGAGATCTAGAGCTCCAAGGATCTTTCCTGCTTTAGGGTGGATCCAAAGGCCCTCAAAAGTGTGCTGTAAGGAAAACCACTAAGAGTACTGGATGTTCTGACTAACAAAAGAGAAGTAATTAAGAGTCATTAAAATATATTCTACTGTTGATTGATTGGTTTGATTCAGTGTTGAATATCGTATCGCAACTACCATTGTACCAAATGTTCAATGGCCTTTAGAACCAATGGCAAATAAAAATATACAAGATGAAAAGGAAATATCTAGTTTAAAGTTATTGATGTTGCATTGATGTTGTTTGTTCAACTTTCTTTTTAATAAATGAACTATTATTCTAAACATATAGAGAAGTGTACAAATTTGAATCTTTTTCATAAATATTAAATTACTAAATATGAAATCCTGTGTGTGCGTGTGTAGCAGGGTGCAACCTATGTATAACCCTTGCTGTTATTGGTTGGTGTCATGCTAACCCTGTGAGCCTATCAGTGCTGAATGTAGCAGGGTGACGTATAGCCTTTGCTGAGATTGGTTGGTGTCATGCCAACTCTGTGAGCCTATCAGTGCCCAGTTTGGAGAGTATAAAAATGTGAGTGGTTTCTTGGCCAGGTATGCGTCACTATGGGTCCTGCCCATTGTAAACTTCATGTTGTGAGTAATGGAGAGCTTGATGCATCCTCTGGTTTTGCTCTCTGGTGTGCACTGGCTCTTGAAATAGCTGCTAGTGTGTTGTCTCGTAAGCGGTGGCATTCTCATAAGGCGAGTGACGATGTGTAATACAGTGCTGCAAACCTCCTGTGGTGCAACAATGTCCAAGGGTTCCTGTGATTTATTTGAGGGCGGTGTGTATTACACATCGTCACTCGCCTTATGAGAATGCCACCGCTTACGAGACAACACACTAGCAGCTATTTCAAGAGCCAGTGCACACCAGAGAGCAAAACCAGAGGATGCATCAAGCTCTCCATTACTCACAACATGAAGTTTACAATGGGCAGGACCCATAGTGACGCATACCTGGCCAAGAAACCACTCACATTTTTATACTCTCCAAACTGGGCACTGATAGGCTCACCTACTAATGTGACTGCACTGCTGCTTTGCCTGGGTCTCAATTGAATGTTCTTGTTGGCGAAGCTTGCTTTATTTTTATTTTGAGTTTTGTCTAAACTTCAGTTAATTTTGTTCCTGAGTAAATGTATTTGTTATTTTGGTTTATGAATGTGTACTTTTGTTTTACAAGTATAGAACCTTTTGTATTTCAGTAGTTTGTGTATTTTCTTTCCATTGTCTCACTGGATCGCTGAGTGGGAGGGGTTGGCCGTGGTTATAATTTGATTTTGTGTATTTGCACGTAGTGTGTTTAATATTTTATCACTGTGTGTGTTGGATATTGAGTGTGGGGAGAAATCCAAAGTGTCTCTGCTGGCCATCTTCCTCCTGTGTGTCTTTAGTAAATGTTATTTGGTACGGTTTACTAGTGCGACTGTGGCATTATTGTATGTCTTCATTAATGTTCTTTTGTATTTTAATAAAGTGACTTGTTGTTTGTGTATTTTAGTCCACATATCCTTGCTCACCCCTGCATTTGGCAACGAACCTGTGTGCCCTGGTATAGGGCTGTTATTTTCCTGGTGTATTCCAGGTGGCGTAGTCGAGCATTGATTATAGGATCTTTGGTCCCCTTGCGGTATTGTATATTTTTTTTAAATGTCCTCCTGCGTGCGTGTGTGCATGTATTTGTGCGTTGTTTATGTGTGTGTGTGTGTGTGTGCGGTCCTGGTAAACCCTACATTATGGGGACAAAATGTCCCCCAAAAGATGGCAATATCCGAAATCCTTGTCCTTGTGGGGACATCTTTTGGTCCCCATGAAGAAAACAGCTTATAAATCGGACTAAGTGATGTTTTTTTTTTTTTTTTAATGTAAAAATGCTGAAAGTTTTCCATCAGCACTGGAAAGCCATTAGTCACCTTGATAAAGCTCTCCAAGAGGTAGTTGATGGTGATCCAGCCATAAGCCCCCTCCTCCATGCCAGAGAGTATTCTGGACCCTCGGAAATCAAATTGATAACTTTGGATTGTTTTGGTGACTTCTACGAGGATGCTGTCTGCTAGACTTTGGTTCTGTAATCTGTGAAACCGATAACACTGATCGTTTATGCAAATATAAATTCATATTTTCTTTTATTCATTTTTAATTTTTATGATAAATCAACCAGATGTTGATCAGTTGATTCACCTAAGAAGCCGCATGCCAGCAGTGGCACCAAGGTACACAGGTGTAGCCTTCCGCTGTCCTTCTGGTATTACTGCTTTGGCAATATCCAAGCATTTCTTAAGACTTTCTCCGGCTGCCCGAGGGTTCTCGACATAGCTTGATATGCCATCACCTATTAAAATAAATACATAAATACGTATGTACTTGAACTTGCAGCATAACAGAACAAAAAGCTGTCTAAGTTTCCAGTGCTGTCCTCACCTTCCACATCACAGCTCTGTTTCTGAGAGACTATCCCAGTGTTGTTCTCTTTGTTCCCCAGCCACTGGTACAGGAAGAGGGCCGTGTGAGTGGAGCCGGCATCGAACACAATCCCATACTGAGGAAGTCAGACAAAGAGTTCCATAAATTTGGGCAAAACTTGATTTATTGGGTGTGATTACTTTCCTGAGATAAGCAAACACATCCTGAGAGAAAACTTTTGACAATAGCTATATCATATTCATGTTATTCCACAGGATTAATAAAACCGTGATTCACTATTAGTTTGTGGTGAGAAATTAGAATTTGTTTGCTTGTTCATTATGCTTGTGGTCTTAAAAGACATGCTATGCATTTTTCAGGTTGTTACCTTGGATTGTTTTAAGAAACAGACTATTAATGTGTGAAATTGACATAATTAACAGATTTTTCAAATAATAGCACATTATAGTTATTTTGGTAACACTTTACAATAAGGTTCCATTTGTTAACATTAGTTAATGCAGGTATATCATGAACAAATAATGAACAATACTTCAACAGAATTTATTAATTTAGCTTAATGTTAATTTCAAATATACTTGTATATTAACATTTCAACTTGGGCTATGTTATCTTGTATAGCTGAAAAGTGCTATTTTGATGTTTGTTTTTTAGAAGGTTTTGTACATCTTTTTGTTTTAATTATTTTAAATGATTCAAAATAGGGGTTAAATGTGTGTCCTTAAAAAAATCTAAATTCTACTAATGAATATCTTAACACTAAACAGTATGGTTTTTAAAAAATATATATATATATAAATATAATGTGTTCATTTAAATATGACTAGTGCATGTGTTCACAGGGATGTCATGTCCCGATCCCATTTCCCTTCTTTCTCCCTCCTCTTTCCTGACTCTTGTTTGTCCTCTGCAAAAAGGGTCATGAATATTTTTTTTAAAGCAGTGAAAAGTTGATCATGAAAAGGATCTTTTAAAATATTTCAAAGGCATTGAATTGTAGGAATGACCATAGCCATGCTTACAAATATCCTCAGTCGCGACCAACACATATTTATGATAATAGTATCCTATAAAGCAAATACTGACAGATTTCAGGTGATCTACATTAAATAAACCACAGGCGTTGTCAGCAGACATGAAAAATAACTTGACATTTTCTGGTGAATGCCTCCTACTTGGGTTGACTTACTCCTAATCTATTAAAAATATATACAAAACCGCATCGTAACTGACAGTTGAGCGTGTTTGCTTTGCACCTGTGTTGAGTATGGCTGATCCAAAGTCTGATGATTAGCAAGAGAGAGAACCAAAGCGATGATGGTTGTACAAGCTACGGCTGCCATTGCAGAACCCAACAATATAGCTTTCATCTGAATTCCCATATCTGCAATCTGTCCGGGAACAAAACAAATAAGCACTACAGGAACGATTCATCCACAAATATGGAAAGTTCATTTCATGACATGCCACTATCAAATCCTGGTTAAGACAAATTACTTTATCATAGCTTTGTTTATACTTCAAATGCCCATTCAAGTCTACAAGCTTACATGTTTAAGAGAGTGAATGATTAACCAGATCTTCCACTGATCTTTGTTATTTTAAAGCTGATTGGCAGGTCGAGACATAAAACATAACAGATCAGAGAAAAAGCAAGAGTCTTACCCTTTTTCCTCTCCTTTACCTGTTGAACTTTCTTTATGAACACACGTATGAGACTTGGCCAAATAACGAAGACAGGTATGTACAATGTTGATACCTCCAGACCTTTACTCCAGCAGGGGCCTCTGGGAACTGACGTTATACTCCCACTTCCCCGGTATATCTTCAGCTCATTACACACACACACATAACACGCACTTACTTTTCCTCTTTCACACACACACACACACACACACACACAGGTGCTACACATTTATTTGGCCACACTCCCTGGATTACAAGCTCAATGCTTCATTGGACCACATATCTTCTCTTATTTTTTTATGTATTAATGTCAAAAGTTGAATTTAAGTTTTCTTAAAGAATTTGACAGGACGTCCTTTGATATGTGGGAACTGATAAACAACTTTATCTGAAAAAAACCGATACCGTACGCTAATCTCATCCAATAACAACTGTTACTTAATAACTAATCTCTCTGTGACTCTGCTGTGTTAATGTCCTTGGTTTAACATTGTAGCACAACACAACATGCTAGATAACTCGGATCATAATGAAAACACATTGTTCATCAGTGTTTCAAAAGACCAAGTCATCACTTTAGTTGAGGGGCCACACACATGATGAAGTCATTAAAAGATTCTGCTTAGTTAATGATGACTACTGTATTTGAATGTCAACAAAATTTGTGTGCTATTTGCTGTGATTGGACAATTTTGGGGTCTGTCCATTTACCTGCAGGCTATGAAGAAGACATGAACATGCTTGGAAACTCAGATCATAATTCAGAAAAACAGTTCTCACATTAATTGATATACTGTTCTAGCCTGTATGCATGCATGAGGTAATGTGGATTTTTGTATATTCCTTTAATAATTCGAAGAGTAGTCTTGCATGCATGAATTAATGTTTTTTTTTATGCATGAGTTCATGATGATTCATGTACTAGCTTTATCCACAATGGATAGTAAAGACACATTTTTTTGTGAACAAAGAAAACATCATGATCATGCGTAATAAATCATAATTCATGATGACTCATCTTAGTTAATGTTTTAATTAAGAAGTCATGAATGAAAAACTAAACTCATGTTAGTTCCTGATGATTCATGAGATATTAATGCATGAATTAAAGGGGTGGTTCAGAATTTTGGACATTTTTGGCCTCATTTCCAAGTTGGGCTTAGTGTTATTTATCAGTAAGGCTAACTTGGAAATGAGGCCCGATGTCCAAAATCCTGAACCACCCCTTTAATGCCTAATTCATTCATGAATTTATACACAAATTCATGATAATTCATACCCTTACCGTAAAGTGTTACCAAAATGTGTGTTAACGTTGTCAGAATTAAACCTCCTTCACAATGTTATGAAATCTGATTAACCTACACTAAAAAGTACTAGTCTTAAATAAATTGGCTGAAAACAGAAAAGCATACACTCTTAGAAAAAAAGGTTGAATGGGGTTCTATATAGGTGCTTGACTCAATTTTTAAAAATGCGCAAAAAAAGGTCTAGGACAAATGTCTGAAATTGCATGATATACTTTCATATTTAATGGGTTTCTAAATTTAATGTTATGAAAAATTATGTTTACAAGCTGTTTAATTAAAATTTTTTATAATGAATTAAAACTAAATCCATAAAATGATCCCATTTATAACCATAAATGAAGCACCTGACAGAACCCTTTAATGTTCTATATACCTTTTCTTTCAAAAATGTATAGGCCGGGAATTAAAAAAACAAACAAAAAAAAACAGGAGAGTTGAACACCATTCAGTGAAGTCAAAGCAAAATGACTCAGCATCCTTGCGTATCAGTAACATTACGAAAACCGGTATTTCTAACAAAGACACAGTTCAGGTTATCCATTATGAATATTATCTTGGGAAGCATAAGAATTCATATTTTGAAAAATGTAATGTTCTTGAAAGTCAATAGGGTCCATGTTGAAACATTCTTCAAAATATCTTTAAGTTACAAATATTCTATCTATATGGACTTCTAAAATACATCCTCTCAATGGACTTTTTGTCCACCAAGAAGTTGCAACCTGCAACAGCAGTAAATACTAGATTACATGTAAAAATATACTTGTCAATCTTGCTTTTTTTCTATAGGACTGATTTTCTGATTATTCTTTTTTCCTTAATTAACAATAAATAAATAATAAATAAATGATTCAAAACTCAACAGTAGTTGGTTGATGAATGGATATTTCCTTCACAGACTCATGAGCAGTCTGGAACTCATTAGTCTTATATGAGCAACTTTTACTGTAAAGGTTACCTCTTAGATACTGTAAATGGCCAGACAAACTGATATTCTTTTATATGGATAATACATTACTAGCGTAAACAGACTCTTTCTGTGCATTTCTGTGCTATGGAAATGGGCAATTAGATTTGGAGCACGTGTGACAAACACCTTTTGGTTTAATCACCTCAGCATCCTGATATAGGGATTTGCAGCTAAGCATGTACTTCAACACAAAGAAAACGAATTGTTCACGGTCACGCTCAATTTTAAATTAGCGAGAGAAAAGGCACGGTTCGGTCAGGACATATCGTAAATCACCGCTTAAATCTTCAATGAATACCTTCTGCTATCCTAAGCTGTTGTTCTCAATCACGCGATCACACCTGTTGCTCACTCCATTATGTTCTGATATTCATGTTTTGAACATTTGAGCCTATACAATAGAGATAAGTAATAGCAGTAAATGGCAGGTGCATAAATGTCTGTTTGATAATCTTGTGGGGACAGTGTGTTCCCAGACATTGTCTTAAAACAGGTTTAAAACTCACTACACTTTGAGAAGTGAAATTAAGTGACTAATTTCTGTGACAATTAAGTGACTAATTTCTTAATTGGTCGGCGCATTCAGCAATGTTATTGATTTGGCCTGAAAAATACTTCTCCACCCTAACATGACATTATATGCAGTTAAGTGATAATATGCAAATAATGAAGCATAAAGGTCATTGTACTCTATCATATCCTTGTGATTTTGGTTGGTGACAGCTTAGTTACTTATAGATAGATGCCCAAAAAATGGGGATAAAACAATGACGTACCTCTTTTTTGTGCTCTATAGAATTCAATGTCAATGCACAATCAACTGTAAAAAGGAATTTTGAAACAGTTTCTTGTGATACATTTGCTCATGTGTTCTCTGTTTGGTGAGACAGAGAAGGTTAGAAGGAGAATTAAGAAAAGGTTAAACAATATGGGTGTATCCGTGTACAAAGTGTATACGTGTACAAAGTATTACATCATATGACATACAGCATATTCATTTTCAATTCAATGAATTCAATGCAGTTTTATTTGTATAGTGCTTTTCAAAAATACATTTACATTTAATCATTTAGCAGACGTTTTTATCCAAAGCGACTTACAAAATGAGGAGAACAATAGAAGCAGTTAAACTAACAATAGGACAACAATATGAAAGTGCTATGACCCTTTTAGTCTAACGCAGTATATGTAAATATATATATATATATATATTGTATTTTTTTATTTATATATAGAATAGAAGAGAAGAGAAAGTGTTAGTATTAATGGATCAAGTGTTGGCGAAATACAGGATGAGGAAAGATGAGGAAGAAACTTTTTCATGAAATATTTTAATATATTTAAATACATTTCCATTTTCCATTTCAGCTAAATAAAAGTTCAAAGCTTCATTTCCATTTAATTCCATACATTTGTTTGAATGCTTTTATAACAAATAATTATCCTCAGTGGAAAACTACAGGATTGCTACGGTTACAGAGGGCACATAAACACATACTTTTATTTTATATGCTAATATTATTTTATTTTCATAGTTGTGCTTTTACTTTTGAGCATTTTTATTTTACTGTCAATTACATAATAGTGTATAACAGGTCATGTAGATTAGGCTGTTTTTTTTTCAGTGTACTGTTCATATTATTATTTGTCCTTTCACAGATACATTTTATATTTTTCTCTTCAATTTTTGTTTTTGTATGCAGTAATGTTCTGTTTTCTGATAGTTTTGCAAATACAATTAGATTAATTAATTGCTTTTCAGTCCATCCTGATTTAACAGACCTGATTCAACTCATCAGTTCATTAGTCTGATCAGTAATATTTTATTAGTAATATCCTGTAAGTTTAAGGACGAGTGTGGTCCATCTGTGTAGGTTTGCTTTGATTCCATTATTGAACATAAATCAACAGTAAAGACATCTTATAGCAATTATGCATAAAAAACAATAACATGTGCATATAATAAACTGTGCTCTTTTATTGGGGACATGTAAACTTTTGAGCCATACCAATATTTCTGCTTGTTACCCCATTACACATCTTTATCAGCACTCTGTCAGATTATTCATTATGCATAGAACGTTAACATTAAACCATGTAAACCATTGAAATATGTTTTTATAATAAGCTGATGTTTGATAGACTGAGATATCAGCCTTTTGTTGTCTTTAAAGGGTAAACTGTGACTATCTGACAGTAAAATTATTCCATAAATAATTGTAACAAAAGTAAAGGTCAAAGCTTCATTTTATGCATAGCTTTCATTTTTAACAATGGAGAAGACTCTTTAAAATAGACCTTCATGGCAAATGTCAGTGAATTCACTTTATGTTATTTGATTAAACATTTACTTTAATTGTTTACCTGCTCAAACGATTTTATTACAACTGCAATATATGTTTTGGGAACACTGTGCATATTGAGTAAACCGTATAATATTTAATCTTACAATTTTGTGTATAGCCTATTTTTTGTCATGTGAACCACACCTGCTCTATCAATGGGTGGAGGCAGTGGTGTAACTAATGACATATCTTTCACAATACCTTTAAGCAACACATGAAAACTGCTTAGTTTTGCACTCATCTCATCAGCTGATTTGTGTTTATATCAGTGTGGTTTTATTACATTCACCATTATCCCAAACCACTAGCCTATAACAAAAATATAATAAGACTTTTAGTTTACACTAGCATTTAAGTTTGGATATAATTCTCAAAATTGTTCTATAATTGAAGAGTATTTTGAATTTGAATTAGGCGGTTGAATCCAACACCACCAGGGGGAAAAACATCAGTGTAAAATAAATTTTTAACAAAATCTCTTAGTTAAAGCAACAAACATAATAATGTTAGTACAAGTTAAATAAGTTAAGATATTGTTGAACCATCTTTTGCAATGTTGATATAATCATTTGATAACAGACTGAATGTCTTAGCCTACTATTATTAGATAAATCAACTAGTAGGCCTACACAAAATGTCTTATTCTACTAAGGCCTATAGATATATAGATATAAAATCTATAGCAAAAGTTTACTGATGTTTGTGCTATTTCCCCACCAAAAGGGATGCTAGTAGTTCCTTTATGTTTGCTAATGGATGAAAAATGATATTGAGATTATGGGGAAACCCTATAGGCTAAATTGATTAGCTCACAAAAGTCAAACACATATTTTTTTTTGCGTAGTACAAAATATCAAACCGTTGTTTTCGTACTAAAAATATTGTATAAAATCTGACATTTATGAAATATATTCTTGTCTTTTGGTTGTGTTGACATATTTCCACCTTTCACTATGGTGTGTTTTTTTGCTAGAGAAAAATGCTAGTAAAAAATAGACCTTGTGATGTATCTTTTTTTCCCCCGTTTGAAAACTAGCCCCAGACTCCCGTATATTAAGAAATGTATGATGGGAAGACGACAATGTTATGCATACTTTTAAACGGTCAATACCTTGGGTTAGCAGCATGGCTGGCTGTTGAACTGAAGTATTTCATCCAGTAAAGGGCGCTACTGTCACTGTGATGCTGTAACACCAGTAGAAGAAGACGGTCACGTGACGCCAGATTTTCAACAGAGCAGCAGCGTGTGAATTTGCTGCTTCCCTACCTGTCAGTCATTCCGGTCATTTACTTCTTGTTTATATTTGACTGATGCTTGTAACGTTTATTTCTGGACGAAAATGACCACACAGGCTGTACGTCTTTTCCGTAGAATGGATGGTCTGTTTGCTGTGTACAAACCGCAAGGAGTTCACTGGAAACATATTCGTGACACCATAGAGTCCAATTTACTGAAAGGTCGTATCTACGTCACTTGTACAGTAAATGCGTATAGTAGCTAGATAACGAGTATACTTTCCTTGTGATAAATTATGATATTTTTTTATTATTATTGTGATACATGATTTTCAATACAACTGAAATCTCCATCTTTCTCTCTTCAGATCTGAACTCCTGTCCTCCACCAGCTCCTCAGCTTGCAGTGAAGTTCCAGCTTCTGTCCAGTGGAGAGAACAACGGCTCCAAAGATCTCATATTGTCCCCCTCTATGCTTCCCTCTCTGGCAGACCATCCTCTAGGTTAGTGGGTAGACTTTACAAAAACATGTCCAGGTAAACCCGAAATCAAAAGAGAGAATAAAAAACAGCATATGTTAGTACAATTCATATTTTTGCACTGAATTATTTTCATAACTTTTAAGAATTACTTTATTACAACAACAACAAAATTTTCATGCATTAAAGGCAGTGCAACAATACTACCATAATGTACATATATTTTGCTATTTACTTTTCCTCTGTTACAGTGACAGGGCCGCAGTTTCACAAGGTTCATGTCGGAGTTGGTCATCGCTTGGATGCTTTTTCCTCTGGAGTGTTAGGTGACCGACAATTGAAGCCCTGAGTTCTAAAGTGATTTAATGTGTTCTGTGCTCAATTCTCTTATGTTTCTATCTCAGTTTTAGGTGTTGGGAAAGGAAATGGAGTGCTGGAGGATCTGTGCAGATCACATGTAACCAGGGTAAAGGATTAGGCTCTGCCTATATTTATTTTATGTAATAGTTCGTCTCACATTTGAATGCTTTACTGTTTTTCCTTATTTTATATCTGCCTGCCTAATTGATTCTGAATTTATAATAAGTGATGATCAAATCAGAACTGTTAGCAGACGTGCATTAATTGTAATAATGACAATTTTACGCAGACTTTTCTGTTTGTTTTATATCTGAAGGACTACACGCTTGAGGGGGAGTTTGGAAGAGCCACCGATGATTTCTCTCACACAACCCGAGTCATAGAGAAAACCACATACGGTAATTTGTACATTCCAATAATTATCATAACCTTAAACTCTGCATGAAATGGAAGTTGTGATAGTCTTTTCTTCTATATTGTGCCGTATATCTGAGTGAAATGGCTTCTCAGGCTAGAAAAAAATGTAGGGTGGTACTTAATTTTGTCCATCAGGAATTGATTGGATGGTTGTGGTTTTCTATTGCTGTGATGTCATGTGACTGAGTGACAGACTGTGTCCCGCCCTTGTGCCGAAAAACATGTCATCAGAGAAGAGATTTAAGATTATAAAGACTAATGATGTGCACCAATAAATCATTTACAATAGATACTTCAATATTCCATAAAAAACAACAATAATTGTACATTTTGGTTTCACGGGGACTTTAATATCAAGAAACGGCTATAATAAATTAAAAAAACATATTTTTTTATGTATGGAATACAGACTAACATTTTGTAGTAAACTTTGTCTTTATTGTTATGTCTTTTAGACCATGTTACCCAGGATAAGCTAGAGAGAGTCCTTGCCATGATACAGGGAGCCAATCAGAAAGCTTTAATCACGTGAGTCATTATTTTACATATTACTTTCATACTGTCAGACTATGTGTATATACATTTGGTTAATGCATAGTGTTTCTGAGTATGTTATTATGTCTCTCTGCAGGTATTCTCAGATGGACCTGCGCACTCAAGAGGCTTACGAGCTTGCAGTGAAGGGTTTGTTGTTTCCTCATGGTAAAAGTCCACCTATTCTGACTGGTCTGCGATGCATACATTTCAATCCGCCACATTTCACATTGGGTTAGTACATTGAATAATATATTCTGTACATATACACTCACCGGCCACTTTATTAGGTACCCCATGCTAGTAACGGGTTGGACCCCCTTTTGCCTTCAGAACTGCCTCAATTCTTCGTGGCATAGATTCAACAAGGTGCTGGAGGCATTCCTCAGGGAGTTTGGTCCATATTGACATGATGGCATCACACAGTTGCCGCAGATTTGTCGGCTGCACATCCATGATGCGAATCTCCCGTTCCACCACATCCCAAAGATGCTCTATTGGGTTGAGATCTGGTGACTGTGGAGGCCATTTTAGTACAGTGAACTCATTGTCATGTTCAAGAAACCAATTTGAAATGATTAGAGCTTTGTGACATGGTGGAAGTAGCCATCAGAGGATGGGTACATGGTGGCCATAAAGGGATGGACATGGTCAGAAACAATGCTCAGGTAGGCCGTGGCATTTAAACGATGCCCAATTGGCACTAAGGGGCCTAAAGTGTGCCAGGAAAACATCCCCCACACCATTACACCACCACCACCAGCCTGCACAGTGGTAACAAGGCATGATGGTTCCATGTTCTCATTCTGTTTACGCCAAATTCTGACTCTAACATCTGAATATCTCAACAGAAATCGAGACTCATCAGACCAGGCAACATTTTTCCAGTCTTCAACTGTTCAATTTTGGTGAGCTCTTGCAAATTGTAGCCTCTTTTTCCTATTTGTAGTGGAGATGAGTGGTACCCGGTGGAGTCTTCTGCTGTTGTAGCCCATCCGCCTCAAGGTTGTGCGTGTTGTGGCTTCACAAATGCTTTGCTGCATACCTCGGTTGTAACGAGTGGTTATTTCAGTCACTGTTGCCCTTCTATCAGCTCGAACCAGTCTGGCCATTCTCCTCTGACCTCTGGCATCAACAAGGCATTTCCGCCCACAGAACTGCCGCTCACTGGATGTTTTTTCTTTTTCGGACCATTCTCTGTAAACCCTAGAGATGGTTGTGCGTGAAAATCCCAGTAAATTAGCAGTTTCTGAAATACTCAGACCAGCCCTTCTGGCACCAACAATCATGCCACGTTCAAAGTCACTCAAATCACCTTTCTTCCCCATACTGATGCTCGGTTTGAACTGCAGGAGATTGTCTTGACCATGTCTACATGCACTGAGTTGCCGCCATGTGATTGGCTGCTTAGAAATTAAGTGTTAACGAGCAGTTGGACAGGTGTACCTAATAAAGTGGCCGGTGAGTGTACATTAGTATAGGTTTGCTTTACTTGTAAGGCCAGTAACCACAAATTTGTTCTTTTCTACACAAAAAGAGGTCCAGTGTGTGAATGAGACTCAGAAGTATCTGCGTAAATTGATTCATGAGGTAGGACTAGAGCTGCGGACTTCTGCTGTCTGTTCTGGAGTGCGTCGTACACGAGACGGTCCCTTCAAAGCAGAGAATGCTCTCACCCGACAACACTGGACTGCTGACTGCATTATACAAGCTATTGCTCACTTTCGCAAGACTACCCGCAAAATCAGGAAATCTGGAATGTACAGGCAGACTGCTGGCCAGTTGAACTCGAGCGCAAAGAACCAAGAGCAAATCAGAAGTCAAATTGGACAGTCTGATCAAATAAGTCAAGAGCATGTTGAACTCACAAGCCCTACTTCTGATAGGATTGTGGACAGAGTGACACCTGGGACTGGGTGAGGGGAAAAAAAACATTAAGTTAATTAAAATGATTTGATTTCTGAGTTTACCTTTTCACTATAATTTAAATTTATAGATTTGTTATACTGTCATTGTGCATCAATAAAAATAAAAATAAAATAATAAATATATATATATATATATATATATGTGTGTGTTCTCATTGTCAATATTACAGTGCTAAATGTTGGTGTTATAAATGTAGATAGATAGAACACACACACACACACACACACACATATACCAAGATAGATATTTTCTGCTTTTAATCATCTTAAAAGGACAGTAAAATGAACAATTAAGTATTTTCTGTATAGGAAGAGAACGCGAAATAAGAGAATAAGAGAAATACTAGTTTAAATAAACCGTTTTAAAAGTGGAACCTTTGATCGCTTGATCAAATCCTGTACGGACGTTTGTCATGACGAACTCGTTCACTGGAAAGAGTGGGGGAAGCTCTATGGGGGGAAGTAGCTCATCATCACGTGGTACTTGCTACTTTGCTCAGCTCAGCACTTTTCAGGATGGACCAACCAAAGTTGTAATGGCTTACTAAAAACGACATTTCAATATATTTAATTGCTGGTGCGAATGTATTTATTTATTGACAATCAAATTCTTTCAATTATTATATTTCAAAAGGTTATTGTTTTTATGGTTCAAATGTCCCCAGCAGTGTTGGGGAAGTTACTTTTAAAAAGTAGTGTTTTCTCGTTACTCGTTACTTCTTAAAAAAGTAATCCGTTACTTTACTTAGTTACCCCCTTTGGAAAGTAACTTTTTATGTTACTCGTTACTTTTATGTTGCTTGACTTTGGGCAGAACCCAATATCTGTTCCTAAATGTGTAGGCCTACATAAAATTCTACCATGAACTCTACTTATTGAAAAACTAGAATAAAAAAAGAGAGAGATTTTGAGATAGAAAAAAAATATATATTTATTTAAATAACATTTGAAAAACCTGTATAAACTGAACACCAAAGCACAATATTAACTATTGAGCGGTGGTGACGCGTTCATGAAAAATGTCACAAAGAACCGGCAAAAGAAATGATTATGAATATCGAATATCAAATATAGCAAGGAGACATTTCAATTGTTTATTAATAAACAAGTGTTTTCTTTGTCAGTCAGTGTCGGCTGCAAAGATAAAGTTGACGATGCTGACTCGCAATCTTCACAGTAGTGAACGCGCCAGAGAGAAATGCACATTTCATATGGATTACATAAGCAGAGAGTCTGTTTTCTCTCGTTTTGAATAGTTTTGTTTTAAAGTACACATTTCAAGCTTTCTATATATTTCTCAGATCTTTGAGGCAAGTAGCTTGCGCTAAGTTTCGCTTCATTTATGAGACGAGCTCAGTCCACGCGCCGGCACGGAGCTCCTGAGAAATCCTGATTATATTGCCTGCTATATTTACTGCTTATTTATTAAAGACAATTGGTTGATGAAACATTGATTAAAATTAAGATACAATTAATACAAAACGAAATTCACTTTAAAGAAAGGCTTTCTACAAAAACAAACTTAATGAAGTGGTCAAAATCATGTCTGCCCACTCCATTTGTCTCCCGATTGCGCATCTTATGCTCTTACTCATGCTTTTCACTTTTCATATAATCAACATTGATGAAATTAAAAAATAAATTATTTTATTTAAACATAAATATGAAACTAAATCGTTTTCTTTAATGACTAGGCTACAACACGCAGGTCTATACAGAGAAATTTAATATCGGAGCGGGATTTGAGCGAACGCCGTCTTACTGTAAGCATGTGGGGGTAGAGGTACGATTTTCGAGCAATCATCGAATATTATTTTGCTTGATATGCCAATCCTTAATATTTGGTGTTTTAAATGCCTGTTTGAGGTCTCTGTGAAAGATTTAAAGCAGTATTTTAGTGCCGCTTTCAGAGCGGTCAAGTCCGAAGAACTGTTACGTCCATATTGTTTCTTTCCTCATACACGAAAAATTCAATACAATTAATATTTTATGTTCTGTGGAGAGCCAACCCTTCTTCATCCGGTGGGAGTATTACTTTTGGTTTGCGCAGTGTAATTCACAGAATTGATTGCTCTGCTACCAGCCTCTGTCACGTACCATGTGGAACTTGTGACTATTGCAAGCGCGCAGCTGAGGAGACACTGTTGCTGTCAAATCTGTCCATGTGATAAGTAACGTTGTGCGGAATAGAAAAAGGAACTACGTTTCGTTACCAAATTCTCAGTAGTAACGCGTTACACTACTTTTTACCCGAAAAAGTAGTTACGTTACTGTAACTTACAGTACGTTACTGTAACTTAACAACACTGGTCCCCAGCACCACAAAAATCTCCCTGACATGCTGCGTCCCAATTCGCATACTATCCGTCCTAAATAGTATTCGAAAATAGAATTAGTACGTCCCAAATCGTAGTATGTTGAAATGAGTGTCCCAAAGAGACCCGGATGGTCTACTATATCCGGTCAGAATCCGAAGTGCAGATCGATGCGTGTCGCTACTCGATCCGTACCGGTTACACGATCTGTACTGCGCATGTGCGAGAACGAAGTTTTTCCGCCACTTCCTGTCATCATCAATGTTTTTACGACAACTTCACTGTCACTACTCGATCCGAACTTTACTGGCACGATTTGTACTTTACTGTCCTGCATGTGCGAAAAAAACATGGATTCTTTTGCATTTTATGTGAAAGTTCAAGAATTTCTCTTAAAAGGAGAAATGCCTGACAATCCCGCTGAGCGTCGGAAAGTGAAACGGTCGTCTGCGAATTTTATCATCAAAGGTAACTATGACAAGTAAGACTAATCCAGGATTATGCCTTAGTTCAATTGTGTTGTGTAACAATATATCGTGCCACAATATTTCGTAATACAAAAATGCAACAATACGTATTGTGGATAGTGACAATATGTATCGTGGATAGTTCACCCAAAATAAAAATTACTGTGTGAGGAAGAAATTTGATGTTTTCAGAGTTTTTGTGTAAGTACTACTACATTAAACTACTTTATAATGTTGATTATAATGTGTAATAAATGGGGAATATTTGTGGGTCCTGATAATCAATGCCAAACGTCTTATGTTACCAGAATGTTAAGTAGGCTATATTCGTCTAAAATAATTAAGTATTTTCAGCTTCAGAATCATGAATATGTTTATTCTGGTGGAAACATCCTTGGGTTACAAGCACCAATTCCAAGCCTATTAATTTAAACCCACAATGCAATATCAAAGTTAGCATTTTAATCAACAGTGCATTTTGTGTTAACCTTTTATAATATTTCTTGGGAGTATCGCAATAATATCGTATCGTGAGTTCAGTATCGTGATATGTATCTAATTGTGAAATGAGGGTATCATTACTGCCAGCTTTTATAAACATGCTTTAGAAAAAATAAACTTTACTCGTGTGTATCTTGAGACAAAAAATGGCACTGACATATTTTTAAATGTATCAGTCACGGTGTTGCTTTTAGTTAAAACAGCTCAAATATGCATTTTACACTCTGGGCCTTGTCTGTGTGAAACCGGGGGTAAGAAAGAACCGGAAGATTTTATAATGAAAAATAGAAGAGAACTGACTGACTGGTACAACCTCATGTGCTAAATGAACAAATTAGTTTAAAATATCAAGTTATTTTAATTGTTTAAATTTGAGTTGTTTTACTTGTTCAGCTCCCATATCTGTGTATTAATACGTGACTTTTATGTAGTTAAACCTGTCAGATATCAGATAGTAATATGATATTTTTCTATTTACTTTGAACTTCAACTCTTTCAGACGTTTTCTTTTTTCCTTTTAAAACAGACGACAGACTCTTCTACATCGGCCCCAGTATGCAGTATATGCGGCTAGTTGTCCTGTCAGAGGAAAAGAAGAGGTCTGTTCTCACGGAGTGCCATAATAATCCTGGGACTGGCAATCATAGTGGCGTCAGAGGCACTCAAAACCGGGTTATTGCTGGCTACTATTGGTCTACAATTATCCAGGACGTGAAAGAATGGGTAATTTTACAAACTTAATGGGTATCTTATATCTATACTTAAGATTGTGTCAACTTTTGCCACCTTTGTTTGATACCTCCTTGTTTTAAAAGTTATATTTGATGTGGATCAAAAAAGTTAATCGAAGTTGTCCTAAGACAAGAATGGGTATTGTTCAAAAGTCATATATAACTTTAATAAAAAGGTCTTTATCCACTTAAAATGTTGACTACTGTATTATCACCAACTTGTATCAACTGCAGTAGCATATGGACTTAACATATTAAAGCCACAGATGCCATGTCACTTAATTTTAATACCGCCTCTCATCAACTGGCTATTTTTCTAGACAATTTGTTGAAAAAATGTGTTGCTTTTTAGGTCAGATGTTGTCACCGCTGCCAGCTGAATGACCCAATCAAGACTGTTGTGCCAGTTTTGCATTCCATTAAGGTACTGCTTACAATGTTTTAGCATACTGATGAAACTAACAAGCTAGTCTCAAGCTTGTGTACAGTTTTACCAGCATTTGACTAATACTAATTTTGTGGCATGCAGGTAAAAGAAGCTTGGGAGGTGGTTGGTTTGGATCTGATTGGACCACTGCCAGAAACGGTATTTATTTTAATGTATGCGTGTTCAGTAACTTATAATGTTCTTTCCATAAGGGAAAAGATGTTCACATTGTGGACCTTATGTGGTTCCCACCTGGAAAGACCAAAATGTGGACCCATTGCATTGTTTGCCTGCAAGTGCTTTGTTTGTGTTTTTTTGCTATCATACTCATCAACCAAGAAATAACTCTTTTGGGAACAGGCACAGAAGTATATGATTATTGAATAATATTTTGTTCCAATACTATTAGGAAAACGTGAGGTCCAAGGATCTGATACTATTTCCAGCTTGGAGCAGACAGCCGAATGAAGCGGATCACTATCTGCTCTGTGTTGAGTTTTTTTTTTCTATAATCTTCATAGCTGTATCATTTACAAAAGGTAGGATTAAGTGCGTTCTATTTTCATGGATATTAACAAAATACCCATTGCAGGTTATGTT